TGCCAGCTTGGATTTTGGCCTTCCAGGGATATAAAATTAACATTGCTGATTTTTGGCCTGTGGAGAAACTACTAGAATATCCTTTTTATATATATATAATATATTTTTATTAGAGGCACAGTGCATAAAATTCCTGCACTGGGGTGGGGGAGGCCCTCAGCCCAGCCTGTGCCCTCTCGCGGTCCAGAAGCCCCCAGGGGATGTCCAACTAATGGCTTAGGCCCGCTCCCACCATTGCCACTGCGCTTGCCAGCTGTAGCCTGGCTTCTGGCTGAGCAGCACCCCCCTGTGGGAGTGGTGCACTGACTACCAGGGTGCAGCTCCTTCATTGAGCATCTACCCCGTGATGGTCAGTACACATCATAGCAACCGGTCATTCTGCTGTTCAGTCGATTTGCATATTAGCTTTTTATTCTATAGGATTGATTTCAGAGAGGAAGAGAGAGATAGAAACATCAATGACGAGAGGGAATCATTGACTGGCTGCCTCCTGCATGCCCCCTACTGGGGACCGAGCCCGCAACCTGAGAATGTGCCCTTGACCGGAATCAAACCCAGTACCCTTGAGTCCTTAGGCTGACGCTCTATCCACTGAGCAAAACCAGCTAAGGCTAGAATATTCTTAAAACACAAAGGACTTGGGAATGTACCTAGATTTAGAATTAGAATTACATCTGAGTCAACCACTGAAAACTACACAGAAGTCTCAGAGATGAAAAATGCTGCACCACCCAATTATTTTTCAAGTAAAAGAAAACCTCTGGCAAGACGGGACTTTTCCAGGAAAGAGGATCTAGAAAGGTGGACAGTCAAGGCAAATAAATGCAGGGAATGAAAGTGGTGGTAGGAGAGAGTGATATGGAAGAGTGAGCTTCTAAGATAATCTGAGGTTGTAAGAATTTCTTCTAGGATTCTTACTCTTCAAAAACAGCCCTTGTTACAATTATGCCCCCTTGTGGACACAAGTGCTCCGAGCATGGAATATTAACATCTAAAGAACTTTTTCATACCTTATTCTTTTTTACCTGAAAGCCATTGCTTTAAACCTTAAACCTCTAGAAACCATTAATTTCTCCCTTTTCTCTGGCCCCTTCTCCTAATAATGAAGTTTATTCTCCACTAATCTCCCCTAAATGTTTCTGTTCTTTTATTCTCTACAATATAATTTAGAGCACCAGATAAATGCTTAAAAAGAAATAAAAATAAAATTTTACAGAATTAAAATACTATAAGAAACTTAAAATTAGACTAAAATTTGAAAAAAAGATGACTTGGTATATGGAAAGCATTCTAACAAGAAATCATATTTAAAATATTCAAAAGTTACAAGAGGAAGGGGAAAAAATGTAGTAATACCTATTTTGACCAACAAATTTCTTTTCTTTTTAATAAAAGAAAACCTAGATATCACATTTACTCTATCCAATTGATACAGATTCAGGCTACAGAGTAACTGACAATATGTTTTCATCTCTTTACAAGCTAGATAAAACAGTAGTTACACATACAAAAAGAGATTCACTTTATTTTTTCCATCATCAATGTTTAAGAAATCCACATTTGATACAATATGTCTTGAATGCTGTATCTAAAATTAACTTTCTTAAGACTTGCAACTTAAATTTAGTTTAAAAAAAGCATAAAGGAAATTTCCACTATGCTTTTTCCTAACTTTTAAACACTAATATTTTGCTGTTGCTTTTAAAGCAGAATGGCTTTTACTTGGCCTTACCAGCTATAAAGACATATGACCTAATAACTGAACAATATTTAAGTGGCCTATGCTGGGCACCAGGAATAAAAATGTTATCTCTACTCTCAAGAACCTCTGACAGAAAGCAGTCAAATGACCAAATAAATAAGGATATACCAGTGAACAGAAGCTAAGAGTTTTTATTAGCTATATCTTTTACAAAAAAAAAAGCAACACATGAATTCTCTTTGGTAGAATAAAAAAAAGAATAAAAAGTCCACTTTAAGAAAATAATAGTGATTTAAAAAAAATAAATTTTCTTGAGTATCCTAGTAGTGTTTTTGTATTTTACAATAAAATATATTTAATAAACTTATTCTGTATTAAAAAGAAAAACAAGTATCCACCCTGGATCATGATATAACATGTGTTTTTTTTCCCTCATGGGTTAATGTCAAAAAAATTTGACAACCACTGTCTACAACTGTATCCTGTAATTTTCAGGCCCAATTTTACATAAATACTGGAAAGATTTTTAGGCATTTGTCAGAGAACAAAGGTGGAAAACTACACAACTCATTTAATGAGACCAGTATAACCATTATAATAAAACCAGACAAGATACAGTAAAAGGAAAAAAAAAATGTCAGTCTTCTGAGCTTAAATAAAGAATCTATATATATAAAAGCCTAAGTGACCATTAGGACCGAACGACCAGAATGACCGGACGATTGGAATGACTGGATGACTGGTCACTATTATGCACACTGACCACTAGGGGGCAGATGCTCAATGCAGGAGCTGCCCCCAAGGTGGTCAGTGCATTCCCACAGTCAACCTCCTGTGGCCCCTACCCCGGCTGGCCAACCTCAGCAGCCTCTCCCCCCGGTCCCAATCGCCCTGATCAGAACCTCCTGCAGCCCCTCTCCGCAATGGGCCAACCTTCCAAAGCCCCTCCCACCCCCCAGCCAGCTAACCTCCAGTGGCGCCTTCCCCCAGCTGGCCAACCTCTCACGGCCCCTTCCCCTGGCCGGCCAACCTCCCATGGTCCCTCCCCCCAGCTGGCTGGCCTCAACCAGGACTGGGTGAGATGGCCCCAATCAGCTCTGATTGCCAGCCAGGCTGAGGTACCCCCCCCCCACACACTTGTGCATGAATTCGTGCACCAGGCCTCTAGTTTCTAAATAAAATACTAACAAATCTAGCAATGTATAAGAAAAATAGTATCTCAAAGCTAAGTTGGGTTTATTGCAGAATGTAAGTATGCTTTTACATTAGAAAACATACCAATATAAATCATCATATATATTTAAAGGAAAACAGCATATTTTCATTTCAAAATATGAAGAGACCTATGAGGTTATGAAAATATTTTGGTGGTTTTAAAGAACATCCACAAATTCTATGTGAATGTGGGCTGGATTTAGTGACTCTCTTGCAATGGACAGAATGTGGCAGCAATGATGCTGTGGGACTGCCAAGGGTATGCCATAAAAAGGACAGCTTCCTCCTGGCTCTCTTTCTCTCCCAGATTGCTCACTTTGGGAGAGCCCAGCTGACCTGCTGCAAGGATACTCAAACAGTTCTGTGGAGTGGCCCACAGCGGGAGGAACTCAGCCCTCCCTCGCCAACACCAACTTGCCAGCCATGGGATTGAGCCACCTTGAAAGCAAATCCTCTAGCCCCAGTCAACACCTCAGGTGACTACAACTCTAACATCTTGACTTCAACCCCATGAGAGTTCTGAGACAAAACCACTCAACTAAGCCATTATTAAATTCCTGGCTGACAAAAACTTAGAGATAATAAACGTTTATTATTGTTTTGTGTGTTTAAAAAAACACAAACCTGATAAAAGAATAGAAAACTTAAATAGACTATAATCATTAAAACCTGGAACAACCCTAACAGGTTTGGCTCAGTGGATAGAGCGTCGGCTGGCGGACTCAAGGGTCCCAGGTTCTATTCCGGTCAAGGGCATGTACCTTGGTTGTAGGCATATCCCCAATAGGGGGTGTGCAGGAGGCAGGTGATCGATGTTTCTCTCTCATCAATGTTTCTAACTCTCTATCCCTCTCCCTTCCTCTCTGTAAAAAATCAATAAAATATACTTTAACAAAAACAAAAAACCTGAAACAGTGAAAAAAGCAAAATCAAACAAACTCCCGTTGTCCACCACCCCTGGGGAAAAAAGTTATAATCCCGGGCAGCTTTACATTTCAATTTTTCAAGTTTTTAAGGAACAGGTAATATCTATTCTTTACAAGTTGTTCTACAAAACAGCAAAAGGGAAAGCTGTCCAATTTATTTTAAATGAGAATGGCCACTTAGTATGGACATTATGTACAAGAATATTACAGCAAAGTCCTAAAATACACACACACACACATACACCCTTATCTGCCACACCTTGGAAGTGACTATTAGTAATTAAAGTGAAAAGTTAAGCATGTCTCATGCTTTTCTAACATAAAATGCAGTTATAGTAACCACATAGCCCTATTTACAGAGGGAAAGCTCCCCTTTATAGAAGAATGAGACACACAGTATAATGCCATGTATGTATAAAAAACATACACACATAGATATATGAAAATTTGAAAAATGTAAACACATGTAGGACAGATGAAAAGGATGTATGTGAAAAATGCAAAAGTACTTAATGCAAGACGGAAGAAGAATGAAACTGGAGATGGGGTATAAGAGAGAAACAAATACACATATGCATACAACTAAAGAATGATCTTTCAAGAACTGATGACGGAGGTGGGCAATAAATTAATAAATATGTGCAGGTGAATGCAGTGAAATGAATATCTTACAAAGAACAGAAAAGGAAAAAAAAAACCTTGAAAGTGCCCTAACCAGTTTGGCTCAGTGGATAGAGCGTCAGCCTGTGGACTGAAGGGACCCAGGTTCGATTCCAGTCAAGAGCATGTACCTTGGTTGCGGGCACATCCCCAGTAGGGGGTGTGCAAGAGACACCTGATTGATGTTTCTCTCTCATCAATGTTCCTAACTCTCTATCCCTCTCCCTTCCTCTCCGTAAAAAAATCAATAAAATATATTTTTAAAAAAATCCTTGAAAGCAAATCCTCTCGTCCCAGTCAACACCTCAGGTGACTACAACTCTAAGATAATCTAAGGTTGTAAGAATTTCTTCCAGGATTCTTACTATTCAAAAACAGCCCTTGTTACAATTATGCCCCCTTGTGGACACAAGTGCTCCAAACCTGGAATATTAGCATCTAAACAAAAGCCAAAGGCTCAGAAAAGAAATGATTATTCAAAGACTAGGCAGCTAACAAGCAACTTGGTATTTTTTAAACAAGAAAAGAGTGTTCTGATTTATTTACTTTTAAAACCATAATATGCAACATAAGTTTATTAAACATTAACGTATTTCAATCTTCACACTCTATAATAAGGAAAAGGCAAATGAGCTGAAAGAAATAACAATGAAGCAGACCATGAGAGAAACCAGCTTTTTCATCTTCAAACCTTTTAGAAATATCAGCTCTAAGGACTATTTTGTTGTAGTTTTGCAACAGGTATACAGCATTTACTATCTCTGGTATTTCTTCCCTGGACTAGATGAAATCAGCCCACAAGCTAACCCTGAAATTTTAGGTCCCTAAAGGACAATGACCATGTCAAACTAAAATACCATGTAAAAGCACCCAGCTCAAAATTATTTTAAGTAAGCACTAATGCTTTCTAATATGTAATTATAGATTATCCTCAGTACCTCTTCTATTTCAGCCTTTTGGTCTAGCACTGCTATCAAAATGAGTAACACAGAAAAAGAATGAGACTAAGTCAAAAGAATGTACCAATATTATTTTCTTTATTACCATTGAGAGCAGAAGGCTATAAGCTTCTCCTTCCACTCCTATACTTATGAATACTAATATACCTTTAGAATTTTGATTCATTACCTACACGTCTGTCTAACCTACAGCAAAGAATGTAGAATTAAAATCAGGAATCACAGTCATCTTTAAGGTTAATACAGTATGGCACAGAAAACTTGATCAACAAATATTTGTTGAAATAAATTACTGATTTAACAAGGAAAGTTAATTGGTGGTCATGTATGTTAATAAACATAATTAACCTTGCAGCTCTCTTGAACAAACAAAAGAAACATGTATTAGCACATCTGAAAAAAGACAATTCAAAATAAAAGATAAGAGCAATAATTTTTAAGATACACGAATAAGAAAAATATGCAAAATATATTGTCAACTCACTCATCTCAAGTACATCTGAGCTGAACAGAATATATGTCTCTCATAAATGGATATATTCTTATCCTTACCAATGGGGGATTCTGGAGTTAGCCCCATGCTTTGAAGCAATGCTTCAGCTTCTCTTCTTTTTTTCTCAAGATCTGATTCTTCTTGCACAGGAGCAACTGCTTCCTTCTTCTGATCAGTCTAAAATTTTTAAGTTAAAAACTTAGGTTTACATATGGTACACAACATTTGCAAAAAATGTATTTTGAATAGACATTATACTAATTAAGTGAAAATCATTCTCAACAGAGTTCTAGTAAGTAATCTCCAAATGATATGTACTAACTAGATTCACTTTTTTATATAATCAAAGAGCTCCCACAAAAATTTTCCTAATAGGTAAATTCTAAAAGTACAGTCAACTTCTAATTAACTACAATATTAAATTGTTATCCACAGTTAGGAATTGTGAAACTCTCCCCCAGTGGCACAAAAGCTTAGACATAAATATCACAATGCTATGAAAAAAAAAAAGATGGAGTTCTTTAAAAGGTAACTAATTTTAACTAAACAGACAATTTGATTTGTTGAAAACAGTAGGCTACCTCAAACTTCTGTATGAAGTAGTCATTGTATTTATGCAACTTTATGTAAGGATGTTTGTAAAAAATGCATCTGTAAAAAAGCTTTACAGATTTTTTTTTAACTATAGCTATTATCCTATATAATAAAAGCCCAGCGATCAAAAGGCAGAACGACCGGTCAACCAGTTGCTATGACACGCATTGACCACCTGGGGCAGATGCTCAACACAGGAGCTGCCCCCCATGGTGGTCAGTGTGCTCCCACAATGGGAGCACCACTTGGCTGACCTGGATAAGCGCGCTCCCACAGCAGGAGGAGCCACTCAGAGGGTGGGTCCACAGCTGGTCGGCTGACCAGGATGAGTGGCTGCTCCCACTGTAGCCGCTTGGCTAACTGGGATGAGCGGTGCTCCCACAGCAGGCCAATCCCCACAGGCCATGCCCCCCACCAGTGCACGAATCTTGTGCACCAGGCCTCTAGTTCATCATAAAAATATGGCTGGGTTTGGTAAAATTCACTTTTGCATAGTTTATAACATTTTTTAAATTAAGTTCTTGTCAACTTTTATTTTAGACATTTATAATTTCAGCAAAATCTTCCAGTTAAACTAGAGAAACCTCAATACTCTCAGATCATCCAAAACATTTCAAGTGAAATTTAAGCCTTCTGGGGAAAATTCTATATATACAGTATTGTCCCCTTATCCATGGTTTTACTTTCCATGCTCTCAGTTACCTGTGGTTAACCTTGGTCTGAAAACATTAAATGGAAAATTCTAGAAATGAATAATTCGTACATTTTACATTGCATGCCATTCTGAATAGCACGATAAAATTTTGCTCTGAAGCTCTCCTTTCGGCCTGGGATGTGAATCATCCCTTTTTTCCAGTGTATATGCTAATTGCTTGTAAGTCGCTAAGTAACAGTCTTGGTGATCAGATCAACTATCATGGTGTTGAAATGCTTGTGTTCAAGAAACCCTTATTTTATTTAATAACTAGAGGCCCAGTGCATAAATTCATGCACAGGTGGGGTCCCAAGGGGGATTGGGGGGGGCTGGGATGCGATTGGCCCTCTGAGCGGGAGGTGGGATGCCCTTTCCAGCCTGGGATCCAGATCCGTCGTGTGGATGTTCACACTGGTTGTCGGGAGCTACCTGGTGGCCACTTTTATATTGTTTCTTCCTTGCGGAGCATCTAGGGAAGGGAAGCGGCTGTGGTGCCCAAGGCCAACTTCCAGGAGGCGCTGTCGGGATCATACCGGCGGTGCTGGTCCTGGAGATTGGACCTGCAGGAGTACTGAGGGAGTGAGTGGCTGTTGCCGGGCTGGTGAGTTGCACTGTCACCAGGACGGATGTGTCAGCTGAGTGGTGCTCCCACTGTGGGAGTGCACTGACCACCAAGGGGCAGCTCCTGCATTGAGCGTCTGCTCCGGGTGGTCAGTGCGCATCAAAGCGACTGGTCATTCCGGTTGTTCGGTCGTAACGGTTGCTTAGGCTTTTATACATATAGATGTCCCTAACCAGCCCTGGTTGGTTTGGCTCAGTGGCTAGAGCATCAGCCTGTGCACTAAAGGGTCCCAGGTTCGATTCAGGTGTAAGGCATGTCCCTCGGTTGCAAGCTCAATCCTCAGCCCTGGTTGGGGGCACATGCAGGGGGCAACCAATTGATGTTTCTCTCTCACATCAATGTTTCTCTCGCTCTGTCTCTCCCCCTCCCTTTCACTCTCTCTAAAAATCAATGGAAAAAAATATCCTTGGGTGAGGATTAACAACAAAATGATAATGTCACAAACTACAGTAATGACACTGGCAGTTCAGATATGCCAAAGAGAAGCCATAAAATGCATCCTTTAAGTGAAAAGGTAAAAGTTCTTGACTTAATAAAGAAAAACAATTGTATGCTGAGGTTGCTAAGATCTATTCTATGATAAGAATGAATATTCTATCTGTGAAATTGTAAAAAAGGAAAAAGAAATCTGTGCTAGTTTGTTGAGAGAACACATTCACATAACTTTTATTACAGTATATTATTATAATTGCTCTGTTTTATCACAGTTATGGGCTGCATTGTTTCAGTCAACAATAAACCAGATATACAACGGTGGTCCCGTAAGATTATAATGGAGCTGAAAAACTGCTACCTCCTAGGGATGTCATAGTGGAATGCATTAAGCACGTGTTTGTGCTGATGCTGGTGTAAACAAACCTACTGTGCTTTCAGTCAGATGAAAGTACAGCACATGTAATTATGTATAGTACATAACACTTGATAATAATAAGTGGCTATGTTAATGGTTTAAGTATTTACTATATTTTTTATCATTATTTTAGAGTGTACTATTTCTACTTATAAAAAACGAGTTTACGGTAAAACAGCATGCATGTTACCCTGGCAGGAGCCCTCATATATCTGTTTACCATGTATTTACAAGTATGTACTATGCAGACTTGATGCTGTTTTGTTTTGTACAGTAACATGCTTGTGGCCTAGGAGTAATAGGCTGCACCATACAGCCAAGGTGGGTAATAAGCTATACCCGTGGTTGGCAAACTGCGGCTCGTGAGCCGCAGTTTGCCGACCACTGAGCTATACCATCTAGGTTTGTGTAAGTAACTATGATATTTGCACAAGGATGAAATTGCCTACTGACAAATTTCTCAGAACATATTCCCATAATTAAGTGGTGCCTGACTGTGTTATTGTTGTTAATCTCTTACTATGCCTAATTTCTAAATTAAACTTTACAATAGGTCCGTATATATATGAAAAGACATAGTATTTATAGGGTTTGGTATTATCTGAAGTTTCAGGCATCCACTGGGTGTCTTGGAACCTTATCCCTTGAAGAAGAAAAAGCTACTGTATACCTCAAATGCCTATTTCGACTAGATAGCTATTACTCATACAATTGTCTGCAGTGAATTTTGTTAGTCATAATAATCTATGATGCCATTTTAACTTTAAAAATTCATCAGAAAATTTCGTCAAAATAGTCAAACAGGCTATATTATCAAGTTGACACTTTACCTATATACATATAACATATTGTAGACTCATTGTTTAATATTATCACTTGTAATGTTTTAAAATTTTTAAATTAAATATATAAATCATGTAACAGATATCCCTTAGAGGCCACTTACGACCATCCTTAGAAAACAAAAACCAAATTTGCTGTCAGCACTAAGAGGTTTAAAGTTATAGATATTACTTTGTAATGGCTCTGCCAGTCTGACTCATGCTTCAACCAGATAGCTTTTAATGAAATAACTAAAAGCTCCAACTCACTTATAATAATGTACCACAGAAAGGTTCAGAGAACACTAGAAAATTCTTCAATTATAGGCCTTCACAGCATCATTGCATGCCACATATAAATCGTATCATTGATTTTTTTTTACTAATATTTTTATTTTTCCCCTAAGAGATTCCTGTAAGTCTTGACTATTTTTTAGGCTATCACATTGAAAAACTTGGTACAAATGTCACAGGACAAACTACCTTACACTGGCCATTTAAAACATATCTGTGGTGAAAATATACAAATTTATCTAAAGAGCTTTCATCAAGATAAATGTACAGTACATTTCAATAAAGGAGCAAGTAAAATATCTCCAGCTCAGGGTCAATGTATATTTGTAGTACATGATTAAATGGTGATGCCAAAAATCAGAAGACATAAGTACTTGGTCCACCTTTATCAAACCCCATAACTCGGTAAAAATATTTCAACGACTACTCATGATAAAGGAGATAAAAACAAATCCCCTAACCCGGTGGTCGGCAAACTGCGGCTCTTTGGCCCCTTGAGTGTGGCTCTTCCATAAAATACCAACTTCTGTGCATGGGTCACGGAGGTTCAATTGCACTGTACATGTGTGCCCGCACGTGGTATTTTGTGGAAGAGCCACACTCAAGGGGCCAAAGTACCACATGTGGCTAGCGAGCTGCAGTTTGCTGACCACTGCCCTAACCAATTAAATATTCTATTATATATTCCTCTTTGTCGTTAATACTATCTTGACATATTATTAGCAGTTCAGGCTAGTAAAATTTTCAGGTAAATAGGTTCAAAACCGAAACTACGTTATGATATACTGTAGATGCCATGTTTTATGAGCTGATACCCCTTACTTTATATAATAAATGCCAGTGGCCCGGTGCACGAAATTCGTGCACGGGGGAGGGTGTGTTCCTCAGCCTGGCCTGCACCCTCTCCAATCTGGGACCCCTCGAAGGATGTCCTACTGCCGGTTTACAGGGATCGGGCCTAAACCGGCAGTCGGACATCACTCTCGAAATCCAGGACTGCTGGCTCCTAACCGCTCACCTGCCTACCTGCCTGCCTGATTGCCCCTAACCACTCTGCCTGCCAGCCTTCTCCCCCCCAACTGCTCCCCACTGCTGGCCTGCTTGCCCCCAAATGCCCCCCCTCCACCAGCTCTACGTTGGCCCCGCCCCCATGGCTTTGTCCAGAACGTCCATAAGGTCTCCTGGAAGGTCTCCCAGTCTAATTAGCATATTACCCTTTTATTAGTATAGATATTCTTAGAAAACTAAATATGTAAATTGAACTTTTATAAATTAAACCCTAGAAATGCATCATTCTATGTGAAATATTTTTACTTAGTAAAAAAAATCGTATTTTAATTGACCACTTTTGATCAGTTGTATCATGCCTGGTACTATCCGTGCTTTCAGGCATAAGATAAGAATAGGCTACTGTACATCTCAAATTCCTATACTGACTAGATAATTATTACTCATGCAACTATCTGCAATGAATTTTGTTAGTCAGACCTGTTTCTTTAAAGTCAGATGCACCTATAGTGTCATATTTTGCAGTCACAACTGCTGGACTTTTTTTTTTAAAACTATTCTGAAAGCTTTATATAAAGGTGTAAGTACTTGAAATAAAATCCAATTATTTTATATTAAGTTTATTTTCAAAAATCAGACATACTTCCTTCTTTTTCCTTTCTTCTTCTTTTCTCTTCTTTTCCTCTCTGATTTGGGCCAACCGCTGCTTCTTACGCTCCAGCTCTGCCTTTAATTCACTTTTGTCCGACATGTTTGCGACCTGAAGAAGCATGTAATCATATACAGTCATTATAGCATTGGTAAAAGCAGCACTCTTTTCAAAAATTTGCCTTCAACAAGTGTCTCAAGAGGCCGTGTAGTTCAATGCTATCTAAAGAGAACATGTAAACTCTAATTTTAAAACATTGGAAGTATATACATTACTAAGACTTGAAACACATTATGAACAAACGTACATAAGGAATATTACTCAGCGTTAAGCACAGTAGCTAGCACACTGCTCTTTAATGTTCACAGGCCCAAACTTAACACAATACCTGGCTCTTAAAACAGAGGACGTGGATTGGCACGAAGAGGCGTAACAGGCTAAAACCATACAGATCAAATCTATTACCAGAGTTTTCATTCATTCCTAGGAATTTGATAAAAACAACGTGTGGTCACACACAACGTTCCTGTAAATTCTAGAAGTGCAATGTCATCGTAGTATTTTGGACAAGCAAAACACAAGCATCACCCTCACTTGCTATCGAATATACTTAGTTGCAATAAATGTCCGCTTAGTCAAAGCCCGGAAACAAAGTCCAGCCGCTCAACTAGACCCAGCTGGCGGCCCGGCCCGCACATCCTCGCGGGAGCCCGAGCCGCCGTGACTCACACACGGTCACTTTCCTAAAACTCCGAGGAAGAGAAGGTCTCCGGCGTTCGTGCTGCCGTCTCCGCGTCAGGGAACTTTCCCACACACAGAGGGGAGGGAAACGCAGCAATGACTTGTACTGACAACATCAGCCAGGCGACAAGGAGTCCTTCTCCCCTGGGGTCCCGGCCCGGAGGGCGCGTCTGGGATGGTGCGTCGGAGGGGGAACCGGTGGGAGGACCAGTGGGCGCGGGACGGGCCCCTCCGAGGCACCCCCGGAGCGGCCAGAAGCAAGGGCGTGGCCTCGCCGGCGGCCTTCCGGAGTCACCGCGGCTGGCCCTCCGCGTCCCGCCCCGCAGCCGCGGGCAGCAATGTCGGCAGGAACTCCCGAGGCGCCCTTCGAGCCCCGACGTGAGACCCAGCGGACAGGAGGGCCTTGAGGGGAGGACGGTTTACCCACCTGTCAGGTGGCGGGAAGGGGGAGAATCCGCCTGCCTGCAACTTCCGACAACGTCCCTCTCCTCCAGCCACGACACCGAGCGTCGCCGCCACAGGCTCCGCGGCGACTCCAGGCACACAAAGAGGGATGGGCGGTGGCTGCTACGGCGAGTGCTTCGGGACAAATGGCTTCAACAGAACGGAGTCGCTCCCAGAAAGAAGGGGTGGAGCCCGGCTGCGGGGAATTTTTGCCCTTCCGTGATTTACCTGCGTAAAGCAGAAGACAAGGACTGAAACAATGAAGGCCCAGGAGGCCGACGTGTTTCCGCGTTACCATAAACTAAGACGACTGCTAATATCCTCGGACTGGACAAGCAACCTCGCCCTGGCCAACAGACAGACCCGACTCGGGAAAACTACAAGCCCCAGCTCCAAGAGACACTTGCTTGGGGCGAGCAATGCATTCTGGGAGCTGTGGTCAATGGTCGTCGCAAGGTATGCTGGGACATGTAGTGTTTCCTAGTCTTGCGGTTTCCCACTTTGAGGCCTTCTTCCTTCAAAACTCCCATGAGAAGCTTCCAGCCCTTAATGTATTTAGTCTGTTGATCAGTGCTCGTTGTATCTTAAGATCTTGGACTCAACACTGGCTGAATTTTAAGAAGGATTTTCCAGTGGTGAATCTATTCAGGGTGTCCCCACAAAAGGGATATACACTTTAGCAGCTGATAGTTCAATTTTGAAAATGAAATGCATTTTAATAAACACTGCCTTTATAATTATTCAAAGTGTATATACATTTTGGGGACACCCTATATATTGCACTGCACATTTTGGTGTAGAAACTTTCTAGGGCATATATACCAGTCTTAGAAAGAAAAAAAAAAATGCCTTATAGAGATTTCATGTGGGATCTTAGGCAAAATTTATAATACAAAATTTAAATTTTTGCCCTAGCCAGTTTGGCTCAGTGGATGGAGTGCCAGCCTGCGGACTGGAGGGCACATGCCTGGGTTGCAGGCTCAATTCCTGGGGATTGAGTAGGAGGCAGCCAATCAATGATTCTCTCTCATCATTGATGTTTCTTTCTCTCCCTCTTCCCTCCTCTCTCTGAAATCAATAAAAATATTTTTTTAAAATTTAAATTTTGAAAATGTACTGTAACCCCATTCTGTCAAAAACTGGGAGAAAGTGTCTTTAATTAGAAAGCTCCTTGTAAACCTAATTCAGTTTTTACTAGTATTTATGATGTACACTTGCTTAGCTGCAGTATTACAGTTCTGAAAATTAATAATAAAAATTTATAACTCCTATATTTCCTCTTAAATTTCATCATGTACACATGGACTGACTGTTCATTTGGGGCTACAAATAAAATTAGTACTGTTATAAAAATAATAATTATAAAATAATATTAAATAATATTAATCATCATAGCATATAACTCTCCTGTACTTTGCTGCAGTATAGTTGGTAGCATTGTGGCTTTCTTTCAAAGAATTTTTGAAAAGAAAACATTTTATACTATTGAAATCTAAACCAAGCAAAAATGATTTCCACAGTTGTAGGTTTTTTCATATACAAAGAAAGCAAAAGTTGTTAGAATATGAATTTGCCAGAAATTTATGGGTTGATACACATTTCTTAAAATTTTATTTACACAATTAAAAGCTTTCTTTGGCAAGAATGAAAGCCAACACCAAAGCAATGTCTTATATTCTAGACGGTCAAGTCTCAGATTAACCTTTAGGATTCAAATTTTAAGCCCTTGGGCCTGGGCCTAATATACAAGATAAATATCTCAGAAATTGATTTGAGAAAGAAAATTCTCCAAATTTTAAGACTTTCCCCGATAACCTAAAATTCCAAAGAGCTATTTCATAACTATACATGTATATCAAAAACATTGCAGGTTCGGTTCCAGACCATTGCCACAAAGTGACTATCACAATAAAGCAAGTTGTAATCTTTCTGGGGTGGAAGGTCTTGCCTTCGATTTATAAAAATCACAACATCTGTGAAGTGCAACAAAACAAGGTGTGCCTGCTCTGCCTTTTTGTTTTCTTCTTTCCTAACATTGAGTCTTCATTTATTAATTTGAAAAAAATTGTGATTGATTAACCACTATGCGCCAGGAATGGTGGTAGGTATAAGGGCTAAAATGTGTATCTCTGTTCTCAAGATGGGAAGACTGTCAGGACCCTCAGTTCAACTAAATAGTATGATCTGATTAAGTAGGGAAATAATGGAAACACTCTGGAAAAGAAAATTTTCAGGATTCTAGGGCTGTCTTTGGTTCTGGGAGATTGAATAGAAGTTAACCATGTGAAGGGATTGCAGAAAGGTCCCTTAACAGTAAGAAGGGGAAAGAACATGGCCAATGTATAAAAGTGTGAGAGCACAGACGACTGGAGAACCTGGAAATCATTCAGAAGGGCTGTAGGCTAAGACAAGAACTGGGGAGTGAAGACATAAATAGCAGTGGCATCACATATCTCAGTTCAGATTTAGTCCTGAAGATCATGGGAATCCACTGACAGCTTTTAAGTAGGAGGATAATATGAAGCAGTTAGCATATTAAATTGACCTTTTGAAGTGGTCTGAAGAAAGGCCAGTGTGTGGTGTTTTTCTTTGGCCCTCAGACTCATTTCCTGCCCTTCTGTGTCAAGCTCTAGCTTGTGGGGATTGACCTCTGCCTCTCTGAGGGCTTCCTTGGGGTTGGGTTTGACCAAAGAAAGGCCTAGGCAAGGTTATCTGAAGGCAGGTGGAAAGGGAAATGGGGCATTTCTCCTCCGTTCCTTTTCTTTTTTCTTTCTTTCTTTTAAATATACTTCATTGATTTTCCACGGAGAGGAAGGGAGAGGAATAGAGAGGCAGAAACATCAATGAGAGAGAAACATCGATCAGCCGCCTCCTGCACACCTCCTACTGGGGATGTGCCCGCAACCCAGGTACATGCCCTTGACAGGATTCGAACCTGGGACCCCTCAGTCTGCAGGCCGACACTCTATCCACTGAGCCAAACCAGCCAGGGCCCTTTTCTCTTTTGATGTTACATCTCCAGCAGTAGCTTCACCCCTCCATGATTATAGCTCCTGTCAGGGGGCCCCTCCTTCATGGCTGTACCTTTCGCTGGGCTCTGCAAACTTTATTTTCTCCCTTTGCCTCTGCAGCATCTCCTCTGTAGCTAGTATCTAAATACATTGTCAACTCTTATTCACTGCCTTACCTCAGCTAGCCCTCCTATAACTGGCCCTTTCATTAAAATATCTTCATGTGAACTATGTGGGTGAATTTTGTTTTCTGCTGAGACCCTATTTATACAGCTTGGTTGGAAGGATGGGAGATGGAGATAAGAGGCAGGGTAGAGACAGGGAGCTGAAAGTGTTGCAGGGAAGATCTAAACATTGTTTGGAAGTTCTATCTGCTTAATAGGGAATAAAGTATATGTGAAACCCTTTAACTAGTTTCTGTGTCTTCGTGTCCTGAAATTTCCATCTCATCTAGTTAAAGAATTACTGGCTAAACAGGGATGCATACCTATCTTTCAAATCCTGTAATCTGATTAAGTGAATAAAGATACAGCCCTGGAATGCAGTACCATAGAGCCATTAATATCAGCACAGTAGTTCTCTATATGCTGATGGCAAATGACCTCCAATATAATTTAGAAGTGAAAAAAGTAAGGTATAGAATCATTTGCATAGATTCACTCATTTGTGCAAAAAAGGAGAAACATATGTATGTGTATGCTATTTTTGCAAGGACACACTAGAAGTCAGTAATAATGAATGTCTCTAGAGAGGAAGGTTAGATGTCTTGAGATCTAATGTAACAGGAAGACTTTCGCCTGTAGCCTGCCTGAATTTAAAAAAATATATATAAACGTATAACTTTTTGTTTCTGGGCTTTTGTTTCATTTTTTTAAAAATATATTTCTTTATTGATTTCAGAGAGGAAGGGAGAAGGAGACAGAGATAGAAACATCAATGATGAGAGAGAATCACTGATTGGCTGCTTCCTGCACACCCCTACTGGGGATCGAGCCCGAAACCCAGGCATGTGCCCTTGGACAGAATCGAACCTGGGACCCTTCAGTCTGCAGGCTGACACTCTATCCACTGAGCCAAGCTAGGGCTCATTTTTAACATTAAAAAATCCATTATCAGCATTGATTAGAAAGGCTATAATGATTAAGATGAGGCCAGTACTCCAGATATTACATAGTTCAAACCACTATGTCATTCCTATTATTTAAATTGGCAGGATTGAGGAGGAGATGTAGTGAGCTTTAGTGCTGAAGGGTTATATTGTTTTAGGGGAGGTATGGTTGGGGAATTTGCATTTTAAATCTTCTCAGAATGGTTTGTAAGAGAAGATACAAATAGATAAAATTTGCATTTGTTGAACAAATTTATATCTAGAATTACACTTGAACTCAAATATGCCAACTTATGAAAAAAAATTTTGAAGTGATATATTGAACATACTGCAGGGTTTCATTTACAGAGTCTTGATTGGAAAGGGACATAGGATGGTGTCTGGGTACTGGTAATATTCCATATTTTGATCTGGGTGGGTGTTACACAGATTTATATAGTCTGCAAAAAATTCATTGTACAATTGTACATTGTAAAATGGTATATATAAATTTATAGATTTTTATAATCTGTAAAAAATCTATAAATTTATAGATTTTTATAATCTGTAAAAGAGGACCCTTAAGAAGGGTCCTCTTTACTGTATCTATGTTATGTTCAATTAAGAAGTTAAGAAGAAGCAACATTCTAAAACATGGCACTTCAAAATAAGTAAACATACACACCATCTGAAAGATGTAGCACACACCCAAATTGGAAGAGGAAGGAATGTGAAAGGGTTAAAAATGTGTTGTTACCCAGCGATCCAGGATCTCAAAATATTGAAGGGACTCAACAGTTAAGTCTTTCCCAAGTAGTCAACTCTCGAATTTATAATAGTTTGTTAAAAACCTTGTGATACACACCTCATCATACAAAGTCTATGATGACATTATATTGTAAAAAAGAAAGTTGTAGCTGCATTTATGATGAAGTTTTCTGATAACTATACTTTTAGCATTCTTCTGTAAATGTCACTCATTTGGTTATAACTTTGCAAAATGAAATGCACTAAAAAGTTCATTCCCGTGAGCTTTTTACTAGGCAAAGAGCATATTTCTTAGCATCTCTTCTTAAATATGATA